GTCTATGGTATATTTATTTAAATATCTTTAACTCTGATTGGATGTTTATTCACATATGACCATTGTCCATCATTCATTTTCGACAAAACTTTTTCAACAATTTCTCATTTTACGATTGTTTAAATACTAATGTTGCGAAAATATTAGACAACAAATTTTAACTCCAGCGATGTTGAAAAACAAAATTATAGAGATTTGAAGAACAATCAATCGACAACTATGCTCAAAATTGATGAATTCAATACTAAGAAAATTGCAATGTTTAATCAACAGAGAAGGTTACTCAGTCAACAAAAAAAAAAAGATTGTAATGGAAAATTTATTATTCTAGACATTTCTTATGGATAAATTTTTTTTTTTACTTCTTTGGGACATGAAAAAAAAAATCTTCTCTATCATACGAACCTATATATCTCCCCTATAATAAGGACTAGAGATCTGAAAATTTAGAGCAATATTCGTCTAGTTACAAGGGATAAGATGTCCAATTTTGAGCGTTTTTGGATTTGTAATAAGAGAGAACGAACAATTTTTCTAAGAACGACCAAGACTTTTGGCTCACCCTTTAGAACACTTGTCACTCTGTTCTGACTCGAGAAAGCAGGGTGCCCGCAGCGTATATAGATTGATGTCGACTACGCGATGGGTTGATAACCTAACAAAAAATTTTGATCGTGTTTATATTGAGTGCTCATTTTTTTTAATATCATTTCAACAAAATAGTATCGATGTATAAAAACTAGATTATAATTTAGTAAAAATAGTGTCATCATTTTAATTTAATCTTGATCAAGAAATATTTTTTTTTTAGTTCAGTATCTTGCCTTTTTAGCATAAGTGCATGACATTAGTAACATATTCATACAAAAAGACAATTTAGTAGTAGATCAAAATTCATTTTTTATTATTATTAAATAGACGTGCTTATTATTTCATAACATATGTTTAGTCTCCTTGAAGTCAAATGAGCTCGTATTGAACAATGAAGTATTCGACTGAAACATAGAATGGGAGAATAAATAGTTCTCTATTAAATGACACGTCTTCGAGTTCTTTGTGACGCTATTTGACAACAATCATAATGCTGTATCTGAGTCAAGAAACTTTCCAAAGAATGTGAAGATGCTTTATTTTGTAGAGAATTATTTGCTCTATCATTCTATATAATCAAAACAAAATGATATTTACGTGTTCCAAGTTATGAAAAACCGAAGTTTTAATTTTCTGAAATCTTCATCTTTGTTTCTTTTTATTCTTGTATGCAACAATTTTCTTTACTCAAATTACTATTTCAATTCTTTCTAACGCTAACAATAGCGTAAAAAATTGAAAAAAAAACCTTGTTGAATAATTTGGTAATCACACTGTATGTCGTTAATATATTTTCATAATTTGAATGTATAACTTACTTTTGATACATCAATAGTAATATCTTCATTTTTCGGTCGTTGATTGCTTGTTGATGATGCTTGAGGACGTTTTTGAATTCTAATTAAAAAGAATTATATGAAAAGAAACATTTTGCCAGAAATAAAAAAAAAAAACTGACGGTGGAGCAGTATCTTCCTCGTCATCATCATCGAATAATGATAATTTTACAAGACCAGATCGTGATGAATCTCCACCACCACTATTGCCAATAAGATCGGAAAGTAAATTAAGTTGTGCAATCATTTTTGGATCAGGATTAATCATTTCCTATTCATTTAAAATAAATTCAAAATCATCTATTTTACTTATTTATTTACAATATCTGATGCAGCATTGACCATAACAGATGGTCGACGAACAGCACTATCACTTAATAAACTTTCATTTGAACTTTTACTTCTGGAATAACTTTAACAGTAAAAAAGAAACATTATTTCTTTACTTTATATATATATATATATATATTCTATTTCTTACATATTAAGACCCAAATGAAAAGCACGTTTATCATCAGGTGGTTCATGATGTTCACCGGCATTGAATGTATGTGTATTATTTAAACGACCTCTTTTATATGTTCTAAATTTATTTAATGTAAAAATTTAATACGTTAAAAAAAAATTTTTTTATTAACAAACCGAATTTCACCAGGTGGTTGAAAACCAGTTGGAACAATACCATTTGTTTTCATTATAAATAGACCTTGTTGAGTTTGTAAATTTTCTCGAAGAAAAATAGAAACCTATTGAAGAAAACAAATAAAATCAATTGTATTATCATAATATATATTTCTTACTCGAATATGAACATCTTGAAAGAAAAAAAGTATTGTATCCCGAATTAATAACCATTCAACATCATTTAGTCGTTCATATTGCTGTAATGAAATAAGAATTCATTTTCCTTTTCATATATTAATTTAGTCAATAAACTAACTTTATTAAAAGCTATAAATGCTTTATCTAAAAGATCAAGTACTGTTGAATTGCGAACTAATTTACGCATTGAATTAACATGATTGTAAGTAACTTTAATAATATCAGCAGCACATGGACAAAGCATAATTTGAAATTTAACAGACATTGTCATAAGATCGTATAGCTAGAGTAATAATTCAAATGAGAAAAAAAAAAAAAGAGGTAATTATTTTTGTAAGCAAAAAAGCTTTTAGAAAAATCTCTAGAGAATTCAAATATAAAAGACGATGAATATAAATGAGAGAACACATTGACATGATTCCATTCAGTTTGTGCTAAAAGAGTGTAGTACGATGAAAGAACAGCAATTGACACAAATTTTAAACACGCACAAGCATCCATCGTGATATCTCATGAGAAATTTTCTTTGACATAACTGACACACTTCGTAACATGCTATTCATTCATTGTTACGAGCTAACTATTCCCTACAGCAAAAAACCGAATTGTTCTATTTCGGTTATTTTTAAAGATAAACCGTGAGCGCACAAACATATATATATATAGCCTTACAAAATTATTCCATCAGGTTTATTTTCTACTATTATTAGCACTAATAAGAATCGAAATAGTGGTTTGTATAGAGAATGTTTTCTTCAACAAGAATTTTCAAAGATAAGAATGCTTGCTAATTTTTCAACAATAGGATTTCTAAAAAGAGCTAAAATTTAAGTTTTTCATCGTATGGAATTTGTAAATAGAAATTGGTTTGCATTTACTTAAAATGATATAGCAAATAATTCTCTATAAAATAAAATGTCTTTCAGCTCTCTATGACATTTTTTTTGTTTCACCAAAATACATCAATCTTACGACAGGCAAAAATAGTTACTTTTGTTTTTTTTTCGTATTTCATATAGAAACAAACATTTTTGTGGCTTCTATAAGATTGATGTATCTTGGTAAAAAGCATCGTAGAGAGCTGCAAGACATTTCATTCTGTCGAGAATTATTTACTCTATCATTCTGAGTAATTCAAACAGATTATTATTTGCAAATTTTTGGTGATAAGAAATTTAGGCATCGGGTTTTTCAGAGATCCTATTCTTGCAAAATTAGCAATTATTTTCTTTTTTAACAATTCTTGTTGAGAATGCAACTACATAAATCACTATTTCGATCCTTACTAGCACTAATGGCAGTGGAAACTGAACCTTGTCGTATAATTTGGAAGAAATTGTTTATAGTAGAGTTCATCGAGTCCGGATCTGGGACCAACCTAACGTGCTTTATCATATACAGACGTCTTTATTCTAGAAAAAGTTTTAAGAATATTACCAAGAAACCAGTTATCGTTTTCGAATCCTTACGCGCAAATGTTAGTATCATTATTCTAGGCATAGATTTCAATTACAATCGGTAGGATGTATTAGGATCTAAAATTCATCACCAAATCTTTAAGTGACGAGATCCTTATGTTACTTCTTTTTCTTCAATTCATGTGAATGTGTGTGTGTGTGTTGTGACTGTAAACAATGCGATTGATGATAAAAAGAAACCTTATAATGCGTTATTCCGTTCGCTTTCCGACTTCTTCTTCCAAAAATTGTCACATTTTAGAAATCATTTTTTTTTATGGAGCAGTTAATATTTCATTAAGTACTATTCGTCTTGGATAAAATTACTTACCTTATCCATACTAGCTTCATTTAATCTCATAATGCTTGAATGAGCCAATTTTTCAAAGATATGTTTAACTGATTTTTTTGGATAAAGTTCTTGTGGTCGAAAAAGTTCATCAACAAATTTACTATTAAACATCGCACCGACAATATCATTTATTACTAAAAAATTAAATTGAAATTATTCTCTTCATTTATTAATTCTTGATACCTTTAGCTGCTTTTTGATCAACAATTTCTTGAGCTGATAAACGTTGATCTAATATATATACCATTTCACCACCCATGTTAAAGAAAATAATCGGGAAACTTTTTAATGACATGTTTCAAAACACTTCACAGATTTTAAACAAATAGTAAGCTTTTCTTTTTCTTCGTTTTCTTCAACCATCATCTGATTTAACGTTGTGGGATATCCTCTGTTGTTGCATATATGTTTCAAAAAAAAGATGGCGCCTTTAATCATCGATTCTTTATATAAAAGTTTGCGTGAGTATTTAAAAATGCAATGAAACCATCTGGTATTCTCTCAAGAGTACTTATGAATGCGCATATATTTATATATATGTAACTTTTTGATTAAGCACTAATAAAATCCTATGGTCACAACTTGCATTTGAAAGCTATATCAGGTGTATTGAATCAGTAAATGAAACTAAGAAAAAAGAAAAGAACGTTTCGATCTAGATTCATCTTAAAGTCGTAGCTGTACTATATTAGAGAAGGAAAGAAAAAGTATATTTTCAACAACATTATAAAGAAAGAACAAAGAACAAAAAACGTAAGTCGACGAAGACGCTGTACTATTACACATACATCACATATAATACCTATATAAGATAAAAGTAAATATAGATAAAAAAGATCATTATTGGATAAAATTTATTCCTTTTTTCTTGTAGAGTTATATTTATTATTAGTTTAATATTTTTCTACATTCATCTGCTGATATTTAATAACGATACGCAAAATGCAGTTTAGTATTCGTTATCTATCATCATTAGTTCGATCACGAAGACGTTTTTCATTAATATTTTTTATTAGTTTATTCCTTTTGATAATATTTATTCTATTTAATATTCATAATAAAAATCAATCGATTGATTTTCTACTAAATCGAAATCAAGAATTAATATCAACAAAAAATGAAAGTCTTATACTAAATACTCTAATTACAAAAACTACTACTATTATTCAAAAGTAAGAATCATTGAACTGTTTTAATGTATTTGTTAAGTATTATGATCATTTAATGAGATATTGACATTGTCTATCTCTTTTTTTTGTTTTAGAAAAGGATTATGGCCAGTCGATAAAAAAGGTCGTTCATTAAAAACAAATTTTCTTGCTCTTGATTTAACAGGATTTTTTGGCACTGATGTTACTGAAGGTGCACATACTCAATGTACATCATCAAATACAACATTTACTTGGACACGTCAAAAAGATCGAATTAATGAAGTTGATTTTGTTATATGTCATGGTGCTCCTAATGGGTTAGATTCTTATGTTCTTCGTTTACAATTAAATAATGAACAACAACAATATACAATGGGTTATATTATAGAAAGTGAAGCACATTCATCAACCGGAGATAATTGGGCTAAATATAATTTTAAAATGACATATAATCTTGATGATAGTTATCCAGAACCAGCGACTTATTTTGATGCAAATCTACATATAATTGATTTGCTTAAACCACCGTCTATACCATTTGAAGAAAAAGAAAAACAAGCAGATATTGTTTGGATTATTTCAAATTGTAATGTAAGTGTTTGTATAGTAAAACAAAAATATCGCCTATCTAGCTATAAATGAGACAATTGAATATGCTGAAGAAAAGATAATATTGGTTTTAGTGATGGATCCAGTTTATCTAATTTGCCTACTAATGTAATGGGACTTATATGTACTGTCATATATATTTACAAAATCAACTTTATTACTTTTCTGCTAACGTTCTGTTATTGTAAAGTATATCAAAAGATTAAGGATTGAATTACACGCCATAGCTCTGCATGAGATGAGACAGTCCTATCTCATCTCATGCAAGGTTTTGAAAATGTTCCATCCCATGAAACAAACATCTTTTACAACGATTATTTTGAAATAAGTTAGATTTCTTTCTCGCGGAAATGTGCAGTTGGTTATGATAATATTATGAAATACAAAATGGATTGATGTAAAATTTGGTAGTATTAATAAAAATGATAGTTGTACTCAGAAATTTGTTTTTCGATATAAGACGGGTGTAAAGTCTCATAGGATGCGATGACATAGAAAATTTCCCTTTTTATCCATCCCACATAGGGCAAAAAATTTTCTGTTCTCTCCCATACAACATGGGGATATAAAATTTTTCGACCCATCGCATACAACATATGACACAACAGTTTTGAAGATAGTTCTATCCAACATGATACAGGTCGCGATAGCTCACCCCATGGGACAACTTTTTTCGTCCCATCCCTTTCCACGCGGAGCCTTATTACACACTCTCTGTATAAACCAACGGAGAAATTGACACACAATATGGTGCATATAATATAATGAATGTACTTGTCATACTCTCTTTATACTAGCTGTCTGTCAGAAAAGGGATGACAAAGTTGGATATATGAGCAGAGAAAATTGTAATCCCAATATGCCCCAGAAAGTAAATGCTTTAAAACGTTTACTTAAGATTGACACCATTTATATCTACTATCTGTTAAAATGTTACTGATTTTTCTTTAGCTTGAGCTGACACATTCAGAAAATATCCACCGTTGTGAAGTTCCAAAAAAAGGAATCTTTTTTTCAGAGAAACTGCAAGTTTAGCATTTTACTACGAAACAAAGTGACATATAAATAAACTTTTTTATATAAAAATTTTCTGTTTTTAACAAGCTTTCCGAATAATAAGCTAAAAATAATGTTTGTTAAGGAATTTCATTCTTGTACAGAAAATTACTGTTTGAATCAGGATAAAAGCAAAAAAGTCAAAAGTAATCAGAGATTTATCACCAGTATCGAATTCTATATCACATGATGTAGTTTTCATCAAAATTCAACGAAAGAATTTTCTACTTTTTTCACCTGAAAAAAATTAAAGTTGAAGTTTTGATTAATATAATGCTGCATTTTGTTCGGAATTCGATGCTTATTCCAAATATGTGAGTAATTATGAACAGAAGTCGTGCAAAACGCTTAATGGTTTAAAAGTGTCACAAAAGCCGGCTACTAATGAAGTTCTGTAGTGAGATATTTCTAGAGAATGAATGCAAATATCAAAATTAAACTGTGTTCAATGTAAAATACAGTATAACCGAATTCTGTTATGAAATTTCATTGAAAATAAAGATGATTTTTGAACGTATTATTTTGGTTCGTAGACATTTAACATTTCTTCGAAGCTGTTGTGTGTAATTAACGCTTTTATAAAAATATTCTATCTCAAGATGAAAACATCCATTTGAGCTGAAACTTCCGAGATATTATAAGGGCCATGAAAACTATTGTTGAAGAGAGTTTCAAGCCGAAACTCTTTGTTGCGATTTTTCTCCTAATATCTTACAATAGAAAGATCTAATTACATGAACCTTTTCAGAATTTTTATCTACACTATGAATCCTACATATGAGNAAAAAGTCAAAAGTAATCAGAGATTTATCACCAGTATCGAATTCTATATCACATGATGTAGTTTTCATCAAAATTCAACGAAAGAATTTTCTACTTTTTTCACCTGAAAAAAATTAAAGTTGAAGTTTTGATTAATATAATGCTGCATGTTGTTCAGAATTCGATGCTTATTCCAAATATGTGAGTAATTATGAACAGAAGTCGTGCAAAACGCTTAATGGTTTAAAAGTGTCGCAAAAGCCGGCTACTAATAAAGTTCTGTAGTGAGGTATTTCTAGAAAATGAATGCAAATATCAAAATTAAACTGTGTTCAATGTAAAATACAGTATAACCGAATTTTGTTATGAAATTTCATTGAAAATAGAGATGGTTTTTGAACGCATTATTTTGGTTCGTAGACGTTTAACATTTCTTCGAAGCTGTTGTGTGTAATTAATGCTTTTATAAAAATATTTTATCTCAAGATGAAAACATCCATTTGAGCTGAAACTTCCGAGATATTATAAGGGCCATGAAAACTATTCTTGAAGAGAGTTTCAAGCCGAAACTCTTTGTTGCGATTTTTCTCCTAATATCTTACAATAGAAAGATCTAATTACATGAACCTTTTCAGAATTTTTATCTACACTATGAGTCCTACCTATGAGTGAAATATGAACTCAAACAGCAATTATCAGTCGGATGGGTTCCTTTGTGAATAAAATTCTCTTACTTTTATTCTAGCTTACCGAGCAGGATCGGATAGGGAGGGATAATCCTGCACATTTCTAAAAGGTAGCTAATTTTCTACACAATAGGAAAATACTAAAAAAAAAACGTCAGTAGTTGTCACAAATCATCCACTTTCTTTGCATATGCAATACCATTTAAAGCCAGTGGAAACAAGATATTATTTGAAATTAAAAATGTCAATGAATAATTCGATGTTTGTTGACAACATTCTACAACTTATTTGATAATTTTCTTTTCATTTCACCCAATTTATGTTATTTGTTTCATCTTTATTATAAAGAAAAAGAATCCATATATATTGATCACATCTCTAGTTATCTTACAGATTTTTGTTCATTTGAACTTGTTTGCATCTTTTATAAACATGATCAGAAAAACATGTTAATTAATAGGACGAGAAGTTTGAAAGTACAAGCTACGACAAACATAGCCGCAAGATACAAATCTAATACATGAATATTAATGAGAATTAAACATGTTACGAAAGCGTATCTTTTATGATTTATGAGTAGAAAATAAGAGATAAAGTGTCTGTGTTTTAGACTCTTTCTACATTCATTTTATCCTATTATAAATTGTATCTTCTTTTAATAATAAATACTCATGAATTAACTCAAAGACATACTGCTAAACTCTAATGCATTTCACTTAAGAATTTTATCGACTTGACAGTTCTTTTTTCTTTTAAAATTTTAATATAAATATTTTAGGCACATAATTCTCGAGAAGGTTTTGTTCAACGATTAATGCAAGAAATAAAAATTGATTCCTATGGAACATGTTTAAATAATCGTAAAGGTTATGCAGCTCGTATGACTGATAACATACATGCATATAAAAAATATAAATTTGTTATTGCTATTGAAAATTCTAATTGTGTTGATTACGTAACTGAAAAATTAATTAAAGCTGTCGAATCTGGTTCTATTCCTATTGTTGCTGGTCGTGATGGTCGACCAGATTATCGACGTTTTATGCCTGAACATGCATATATAAATATATATGATTATAAATCAATAAAAGATCTTGCAAATGATCTTAAACGTATTGCAAATAATAAAACATTATATGAATCTTATTTATGGTATAAAAAACATAATAAAAATATTTCACAATTAAGTAAAGTTACACTTGATGAAAAAATAAAACATTTTGTTGATGTTATTGGTTCAAATGCAACTATGATTACACATGGTATTATAGAAAAAGAAAAGAGTGAAGATAAAATTTGTAAACTTATACGTTTTGTTCGTCAAACATCATGGCAAGATATTGCTGTACATCATGGAACACCAAGAATTGGTCCTGATATTGCTTGTTTACCAAGAGGAAGTTTATTAACTTATTTTGATTCATTATCTTCCAATAGCAATCAAACAATGAAGTCTTGAGTTGCTTTTTGATAACTTGAACAATTTTTTATTGTTTTATTTTTTTTTTATGATAATGTTATTTTGTTTTGAAAATTTTTGAGTTACATACTCCAATCAAGAAATTAATAAAAAGAATGATTTTTTCAAGTATATTGTAAATACGATGAAGTTGATAAGAAACAAGCGAGTTTCCCAAAAATTGAACAAAACCCGACAAAACTAACATTTTGCTTGCAAGTTTTAAAGTATTATAAGGGTCGTATTTTATGTCAGAATCTAGTGGCGTAGTGAGAATTTTAACAATGGAGGAGATTAATATGATCGAGCTCTCCGATGAGAAGACGCAGTCTTCTTTGGTTACACCACTATTAGAAAATTTCATTTAATTGCTGAAAGCAAGTTAAAATCTTCATCTTAATCAAAGCAAAACTCCTGAATTCCATGATTTCAAGTGTTGTAGTCTTATTGAGAATTAAATTATACTAAACAATGAACTCAAAAGTGCAATAATAATTTGTAGCTGTGACAGTTGAATGCCAGCTATGTTTTTGTTCTCTTATGCGATCGATTATTAGATGTTGACAATGACTGTACGTTAATCCATAGTATTCTAGTGTATGACTTCTAGAAAACAAAGAATATATAAATGAGTTGAAATGTTCTAATTTCCTAATTGATGGCTCACGAAAGAGGGTTATTGTTAATAAATACAATCAGATTTCATTTAGACAAATATATTGTTCAACATTGATTTTTTAGATGAAATTAAAATAACGCTGATCCAACTGATTTCGACGTCCTTATAGGAAATAGATTTTGTCTTTTTGGTGCATCAGTATGATATGCTTCCGTTAATAACAAAAAGCTTGTTAACGCAGCTTCTTTGAAGTTTAAATATGAAACTCACATGTATTCTTTAGTAACATTATACTAATATACAATACGTTAAGTGAAAAGTCTCTCACAGACTAGTTGTTCTCCAAGATAGTTGATAGCCAGAAAAGTGATCCGTCTTATCCATTTCTACATTTTTAACAGAATTTTTTTATTAACGCACTATCTATTGTAAACATTGTTGCTATTCACTTGTTACGTTTGTTTTTCGTTCATCATATGTACAACAGGGACTCCCAACTCACTATTATATGTCTGGATAAGTTCATAAACACTGATATTAACTGTTTCCTAAAGTTAGCTCACGTTTTTTTCTTTTATGTTGACCATATGGAAATTGTGGCACATCAATGCATTACTACTCATCATCCTTGACATCTTAAGTATAGTTCTTTTTCTGCGAAAAAAAAAGCAAAAATGGCACTATTTAGAACATTCGTAAACGGCATTCCAGTCATTCAAATTCCGAGAAACACTTTGGAAGTTCCTGAACAGTGTAAGTCTTGCTGTTAATGCCGTTTCATGCATTTTCCCGTCACTAATTTTATGCTCGTTTGCTTTGGTCTGTGATGAGAGGCACACAACTTCGACTTAAGACTTATACTTACTATTTTCTTCGAAAATAAATGTGTGTCCTACAAAATTGACAAATAGAAATATAATTTTGTTGCTAAAGATAAGGTAGACAATTATATTGAACTTAATTGTCAGTTTATTGATCTATATACTCATTTTTATATCGAATGTCATGTTTCATATGTTAGGAAAATGGTTTAATTTGTTATAAGGTGTGTCCTTTATCACGTTATGCAATTTTTAAATAAAAACAGATGTAATAAATATTTTTCTTCTGATATAATAATTCAATTAAAATATTAGAAAATCTAATACAAACAGATCGAGATATTCTTGTTAAACTTAAGTTTGTGTAGTTTATTTGTTGAAAAAAAATCAATGTTCATTTATATTTGAAAAATAAAGTTTAAGCATTAGGTAAAATTCTAACAGAATCATCAAAATTACATAATGCCAATAAAAATTGCCAAGGCAATGGAGCTAAATTATCATTAACCGAAAGAGTACATGTTGTTTTCAAACGTTCATGAAACAGTCTTATCTGTTTCTTTGTACAGTCAATTGTAAGATCTAACACATCATTAATTTTTATGTTACAACTTTTATATCCATACTTTCGAACATTACTACTGCAACGTCCATTTTCATAGACTTGATCATTTCCGAACCATCCTACAGAATCAGAAGCTCTAAAAACATCTTCCTTTAAAGCTGTTTTAGATGACATGCAGCCAAAGAAAATACGATAAGGCTCTTTGCAATTTTCAATTCTGAATCTGATTGTATGGCAACCTGTAGAATAAAGAAATCGACCTCGAAGGTATGAAAAACTTGGCCAAGGGTCAACACATTTAGCAAGACAACCGTTTTCTTCAAGATTAACATGGCCCAATGTTTGTAAGAACCTTTCTTGTAAGTCTAGATTATGAGAACTTGAGGATGTTGAAGATTCTTTTCTGTTTTCACCTTGATCGTTGGAGGACTCATTAGCTCTGAGTGTCATTATATAAATGGGAGCGTTTTTATCTAAAATTAATTTAGCTGATGATGGTGATGTAATTTCTAATTGAAGTTCTTTCAGCTGTTTCTTCCATCGTTGAAGATCATTTTCAGAAAAATCATCAGCTTCCTGAGATGCACGAAGGTTTTCTGTGATATCACGACATGTTTTTGAAAGTCTTTCCTTTGATTGTTCAAGCAATTCTTGTAAAGTTTTTCGTGCAGTCTCAGCAGCGACTTGAATCTTTGCGATTGAATCCTTTTCCCATTTATCTATTTTTTTTAATAGAGGATTTTTCTTTAATGATGGTTGCGCTAATTCTTGTTGAAGTAAATCATGTTCTTGCATTATATTATCCAATTGTCCACTTAATGTTTGTCGATGTTCAATAACATGTTTACCACAAAATGCTTGTTGACATCCTTCACATATCATTATGCCGCCACTCTTATTGCATAAAACACATTGTTTCTTGTTCGACGCGCTCGCACTCATTTTCGTTATTGAAATATTGTAGAAAGACGTTCGTCTAATAATTACAGAAACAAATTTATTTCATTTTTAAATAATAGTCAATAAAAAGAACGAAAAAACATGTGTAGAGCACGAAGTGTTTTTCTTTTTAATAAACCCCAGTATAGACATAAGATATTTTTCACATAAAAAAAAGAATAATTAAACATGGAATGACTATTATGAATTAGTTTTAGTGGTGATGATGATATTTCTGTTAATAGGAATGTTTTAAATGATCTAATTAACGTGTGAATTTATTCCCAAAAACAAAATCCATTGAGTTGAAGAAACACCCGCGNTATGTTTAGCAAGAAAACCCCCATTTTTGAGTGTAACAGGTCCAAGTGCATCTACAAACTTTGCTTGAATCTTTAAATTTAATGCACTTGTTAATAAAGGCAGTTGTTTACTATTCGTAGATTTATTATTTTTTAAATTAGTATTTTCAACTTTAATTAACTGAATAATAGATTTTTCGTCTTTAATAATTTTAACTGAGGATGATGATGTAATTTCTAATTTAAGGTTTTTTAATTGCTCTATTCAATGAATAAGATCATTTTCTAAATAGTCATCAGCTGCATGAAATGAACGAAGATTAATATCTAAATCACAATATATTTTAAAAATCTTTCCTTTTGATTGCTTAACTGTTTTTTGAATAGTTTTTCGTGAAACTTCAGCAACATGATGAATCTTTGCTAAAGATTCTTTTTCCCATTGATCAATTCCTTTTAACAATGAGTTATCAATTGATATTTGTTTAATATCATATTGAATCAAAGCCTGTTCTTGCATAATACCATCTAATTGCCGAGCTAAATATTGTCGATGCCAAATAACATCTTTACCACAAAATCTTTGTTGACATCCTTCATACGTTAAAATACCAGCACTCGTGTTATATGTAACACATTGTTTTTTAGTATTTACACTAGCGCTCATATTCTTTGTTATATAGATTTGTTTTGAATGTTCTAATGTGAAAGTATTATAGTGAAGAATTTTTGATGTTTTCATTGGAATTTGATATAAGCAAATGAAAAATACGATTAAAACAGAGAAAGATTTGCAAATGTTTTTCTTTTCAATCAGTATAATAGAACTATAACCTAAGGTTTATGCTTGTATATGTTAAAAATGATGATTCATCGAATTATAACAGTGAATTCTTCAATTTAAATTCAGGACGAAAAATATGGTTATTTTTCGAGTAAAATTTTTTCAAATGATTAACAAAACTTTTTTTGAATGGCTTATACAATCATATAGTCACGTTTATATGTTTATTAGTCTCTTATAACTATTCTTAATGGCTAAATTTGATAAGAAAGAAAGAGAACTCAGTATAAGTATTTCTATATATAGTTTATTAATCGTAAACAATAAAAAATAGATCTCGTAATATCTTAGTAATAAAAAAATCGGTCTATCTTTCCTAACTATTGTTATCGACACAAATATATGTCAGTGTTTCTGACTAATTTTAAGAAATACTCTAAGATTATCTTTCTATTTTTACTACATAGTTTACATCAATACTCTACAAAATCTTACTTCTTATTTATTTAAATAAATTTAATGAAAACGAATCAGCCAAACATTTATATTTGCATCAATATATACGGAACAGCATCGTTTAAGATAACGGATATTTTATTTCTGAGAAAATAGATTTATCAGAAAACTGGATTTCTCTGAATCTTTTTGTCAAAATATTCCTATTCATTGAGAATATGCTATCTCGGATGATCAGTAGATAAATTTTCATTGAAAACATTCTCAAATACAATAAACTACACAATCATGATCAAACCAACTTCTAGTTCTGTGTTTTTATATCAATTAGTAGTTTGAAAAAACGTAAATCTTTTGAAACATCGAGGTCTCATATTTTGCCGAGTCAGGTGCGTCATACTCGACCGAATTGCACGGCACTAGTGCTAGTAGACCTTACGTAATGGTATAAGTCTCATTTGAAAAGCTTTTTATCACCTACAAAGATTCATTCGTGAGACGGTTAGCGTTTTGATTCATCATATTTCTTTGAGAATATGCCTATCATTATCGAGTGTTCTTCAACTGGAAACAACATCTTTTCTGTAGGTTCCGACGGGAATTATTCATCTTGAAATTTCAAACATATTCAAAACGGATGTAGATTTCCATTTTATTATCAATTAGAGAAATTACAATATTGACAATAGCCTAAACTATAATTCTCATCATCAAATCATATGATTGAACATTGCTTAGATTATTTAACTGATACTATGTCATTGATTTTAATAAGTGAATATATTTTAGGTTTTTATTTATTCAAAAAATAAAATAATCAAGCTCATTATTACACTTGTCAATTAGATTATCTAATTCAAGAAAAGATTTGGATCAATGCTGATAGAATCGTTTTATTCTTCGAAATCAAAAAAATTATCTTTTAGGTAGAACTCTCACACAATCATCTTCGTGAACTAATACAATTAAAATTTGCCAAGGAAATGGTGCTTTATCTATATCAACTTGAAGTCTATGTGTTTTGCTTAAACGTTCATGAAATAATTCAATTTGTTGTTGATCACAATCAAATGTAAGACTTAAAATATCATTTTTTTGAATTTGATTACTATCGTAACCATGCATAGCTAAATTATTATTCCAAATTCCATGTTGATAAATTTCATTATAACCAAACCATCCAACAACAGATGATGAATTATAATTAAGTACTTTTTGAATTACTTCAGATGATATACAACCAAAGAAAATTATATATGGAAGAGTACATTGTACAATTTTAAATCGTGTCGTATGACAACCTTGAGAATAAATTTGTTTACCAAGAACGTGTGCATAATCTAAATCAGGCCCAATATGTTTAACTATTATGCCACTATTTTCAATAGAAGCAGGACCAGTTGTTTTGAAAAACAATTCTTCCGAATTAGGATTTAATGGATTTTTAATACTTGGATTATTTCTGTAGATATTTGAAAATTTATTATGTGTAACTGTAATAGGATAAATTGGAAATCGTTGATCTTCAATTAATTCAATTGAATATGATGATTTAATTTCTAATCGAAGATCATTTAATTTTTTTATCCATCGCATAAGATCATTTTCGGAAAAATTATCTATTTTCATTGATGAATTAAGATCATATGCAATATCACGAGATATTCTTGCAAGTTGTCTCTTTGGTTTATCAATTAATTGTCGTAAATCTGCACGTGCAGTTTCGGCAGCTATTTTTATTTTTCTAATTGATTCTTTTTCCCATTTATCGATTTTTTGTAAATGAAAATATTCATTTGATGATCGTTCAATATTTTGTTGAAGTACACTATGTTCTTGCATAATACTTTCTAATTGATAAGTTAGTTCTTGTCGATGCACAGCAGCATGTCTAGAACAAAATGTTAATTGACATCCATCACAAATCAATAAACCACCAGTTTTTCCACATTTGGCACAATATCTTTGGCCAACGTTGTTGTGATGCATAGTTTTTATTATTGATATGTTGTCAAAGATCGGTTGCGAAAGCGAAAATCAATATAAAAATTATATTTTAGGGAATGAATGAAGAAAGAAACAGAACGAAGCATTCGTTGTTCTGATTACTGTTTTATATTGTAAGCTTAAAAAAAGACGAGAAATTTGAAGAGTTTTTTTCTATGGTATCCATTATTATTATTTTTTTGATTAAGTTTATCAATACATTTGCTGATTGATTTTATCATGCGTTTTAATTATTTATGATCGAATTTGAACATATTTTATTGCAGACAAAAATGAAAAAGAAAGAATTTGAAACCGGAAAAAAACGAATTATAAAATATAATTTCGTGCCCTACATATTTTTGGGGGTTTTAACCATATATGCATCACTGATCAAAAATATAAGAACAATGTATATTTGATTCTAAATAAAAATCTGAATAGTGGTTTGAATTGTCAATGCAATTCTCTATAAAATGCATTTCATCGATGGACCTCGATAAGAAGGTTTCTGAAGAATCAAATAGGATCGTTGTCAGGCCTCAGGATATTGTATGAAAATTAGTTTTAAAGATTAATATTTTAGAGAGCATAAAATTCTGAATAAAATGAGGAGTCATTACATTTTCTAGGATCTTTCTTTGAAAAGTTATAAGTATCAGAAACTACGACAAAAAGCGGTTTTAGCCAATTTCAAGCAATGTTGTGATGATTATAACTTTTTAAGTGAACGTCATAGGAAATAAATGCTATAACGTCTCATTTTATTTAGGATTTTGTTCTCTTTAAAATGTTAATCTTTAAAATTATTTTTCACAAACGTCTTCTGGGATTTAAAAACAGCTGTGTATGGCTTTTCAGAAATCTTCCTCTCATAGTTCGTCTGTAGAATTTCAGAATGAAATGCATTCGATAGAGAACTGCATTGGCCGTTCAAATCGTTATTTCAATTTTAGTTAAATGTTTAGTGTCATAGAAAAATATAAAAAATACTTCGGTTTTATGTATGTGACCAATAAGGTAGATTATTCATAGTGTTCTTTGATCATCAAATCTTTCATAATGTGATATTCCATCATTTTTCTTCTGCCGAAAGTTTCTAAATGACACGCAGCTGTTTACTTACTTATTGAATAAATTCCTGAAACTTGATCTAAATTCTCCGAAACCGAAAGCTTTTTCATGTTGTACCATTATCTGATCCTTAAAGCACATCAGCGAGTAGACTCTAGATACTAATCAATCTGAGCAATAGCTTAAATTGAATGTCTTTTCGGTGGTTTTTTTCTTCGATGAAATATACGTGACTATTTTCTATTCCTCAAGCCCTAAGCAACGTTTTCTTTAGTTAAAAAAAGCATTTAAAAGTATTGAATCAACAGAAATACTTCTCTTATTAAACTACTTACTTATACTTTTGTTAAGTATATTAAAAATAATTTAATAAAGCAACCTCTTCTACATAATATTGCATGTTATTATTGATACTATCGTATCGATGCGAAAATTATTAAAAAAAACTTTTGTAATATTAATCTATGAATCGTACATAGATCAATACTATGACTTTTTTTTATTCTGTCAATAAATCAGTCTGAATCTTATTTACTAAGTGTAACTGAGATGTTTGAACGATTCTGCCGCATTCATGCGTGTCAATTAACACGATTAAAAATGGTCAAATAAATGATGTTTGATTGATATTAGCTGTAACTAGATTTCTTCCGTTTTTATCTTCGTAATATAATTTGATTTTTGTTTTGCTTTTCGCAATCAAGTGTTACATTGTTTTGCTATTATGTCTATGTAGATTAGAATTACCAATGTGTGTGTCATGTTAATATACTTTATTGTAATCTAACCATCCACAAGTAAAACAGAGAAACTAATAGAAATTCTATTCTGAATCACTTGAGATGATATACAACCAAAGAATATGTTATATTGTACATCACATTGTTTGATTTTAAATAAGACATATGCTAACCTTTAAAATAGAGTTATTCACCAAGAACACATTCATAATTAGAACCGTCAATATTATGCTTAGAAAAAAGACTTTTGTGATTGAGTGTAACCCTACCAATCACTTTTGAAAATCTGTCTTAAACCGTAGGATCTGGCATCTTATTTTTCGTAGTCTTGTCTCAAGTTGCAATTAAATCAACAAGAAACTATTCATTTTTTATCAATTTCCTGGATAATAAGGATATGATTTTCAAATGAAGTTGTTTTAACTGTTACATCCATCAATTCAATTTGCCTTTAACCTTAACGTCTTTAGGGAAAGTTGGTTGCTAAAGGAACACAGTATAAAAGGCCTTCATAGATCCAAAAGATATGTTCACAACAGCTCGCTGTTGATGAAGTGTTCCTCTTGGTGTGCATCAGTTCCCTCTAATGGCTCCAGTTTAAATTATGACATCGAAGATATTCTAGTCCTAAGTGAGTTCCCTGAATCATTCTAACAATGCCTTTCCTCGTCATGTGCAGATCATGTTGTTGTTGAAAAGTAC